AGCATGCATTACATTATTTAACCATACGCATGTCCGACGCCTGCTGCTCAAGGCATAAGCGCAGGTTAGACAAAAATGAAATCTTAAGTAAGCTAATTGAACCTGATTCTAAGCTACAGATTATGTGTTGCAGTATTGTTGTCAAGGAATGTCAATTTAAGATCACACCCAGTATAAAGTAGGCAGTGCAGGGCAATAACACACCCAACACACACACACACACACACACACACACACACACACACACACACACACGCCACTTTAAAGTAAATGGCTACTTACAAAGGAGAAAAGGAAGAGGAGAAGAGGTGGATGAGAAAAAGGAGAGCAGGAAGTGGTATAGGGGAGGTAGATGAAAACAGAGGGGGAGGAGGGCCCCTGGTTTCCCTTATTGTTTTTTTTTTTGATAGTTGGAAACGGTGTAATTTATAATAGTTGGAAACGGTGTATGTGCAATATGTTTATTATAGTTTGCTTTACAGTAAGTTCAATACTCTAATAACAAGGAGTAGTTTTAGTAGTAGTTTAAAGAGCACATCTGAGCACATCACAATGCACACATATTTTTTGTCAACACCGTCAGATCTTCATCAGCACCGTCAGTTTTTCATCAACACCGTCAGGTTTTCATCAACACCGTCATATCTTCATCAACAGCGTTGGATGTATGTTTTTGTTAATTTTTTGGGGAAAAAATGTTCTTCCTTCAGTTTATGTTGTTTTTGTAATAAAGGACCATCTGATCTACATCTTCTTATGTTTTATTTATTTATTTAAGGAATTTGTTTTTACAATATTGAAATTAAAATCAAAGTTTGAAAATGCAAATATTTAGAAATCTGAGTTTTCAGAATAGTGTGAAATCACAACTTAAGTTTATATATTGTATTTTTTTTTACATATCAGAGTAACTAAACACTATTACAATATACTTCAGAACTTTAGATTCTTGTTGGATTGGAAGAATTAAAATTGTATACTTTTTAGTGTGTCTGACGGAGTTGACACAAATTCAGTTCTGAAGGGAAACGTGTTTATTTGGTAAAAATGTGTTTTTATTTAGAACCTGTTCCTTTACATGGTTAAATAGCTAAGACCTTTCTCTGCAGAAACATCCAACTCTAATTGATATAGTGTGTATTTAAAAAAAAAAGTTTTGTCCCGACTCTCAAGAATCAGTGATATATATATATACACTCACCGGCCACTTTATTAGGTACCCCATGCTAGTAACGGGTTGGACCCCCTTTTGCCTTCAGAACTGCCTCAATTCTTCGTGGCATAGATTCAACAAGGTGCTGGAAGCATTCCTCAGGGAGTTTGGTCCATATTGACATGATGGCATCACACAGTTGCCGCAGATTTGTCGGCTGCACATCCATGATGCGAATCTCCCGTTCCACCACATCCCAAAGATGCTCTATTGGGTTGAGATCTGGTGACTGTGGAGGCCATTTTAGTACAGTGAACTCATTGTCATGTTCAAGAAACCAATTTGAAATGATTAGAGCTTTGTGACATGGTGGAAGTAGCCATCAGAGGATGGGTACATGGTGGCCATAAAGGGATGGACATGGTCAGAAACAATGCTCAGGTAGGCCGTGGCATTTAAACGATGCCCAATTGGCACTAAGGGGCCTAAAGTGTGCCAGGAAAACATCCCCCACACCATTACACCACCACCACCAGCCTGCACAGTGGTAACAAGGCATGATGGTTCCATGTTCTCATTCTGTTTACGCCAAATTCTGACTCTAACATCTGAATGTCTCAACAGAAATCGAGACTCATCAGACCAGGCAACATTTTTCCAGTCTTCAACTGTTCAATTTTGGTGAGCTCTTGCAAATTGTAGCCTCTTTTTCCTATTTGTAGTGGAGATGAGTGGTACCCGGTGGAGTCTTCTGCTGTTGTAGCCCATCCGCCTCAAGGTTGTGCGTGTTGTGGCTTCACAAATGCTTTGCTGCATACCTCGGTTGTAACGAGTGGTTATTTCAGTCACTGTTGCCCTTCTATCAGCTCGAACCAGTCTGGCCATTCTCCTCTGACCTCTGGCATCAACAAGGCATTTCCGCCCACAGAACTGCCGCTCACTGGATGTTTTTTCTTTTTCGGACCATTCTCTGTAAACCCTAGAGATGGTTGTGCGTGAAAATCCCAGTAGATTAGCAGTTTCTGAAATACTCAGACCAGCCCTTCTGGCACCAACAATCATGCCACGTTCAAAGTCACTCAAATCAACTTTCTTCCCCATACTGATGCTCGGTTTGAACTGCAGGAGATTGTCTTGACCATGTCTACATGTCTAAATGCACTGAGTTGCCGCCATGTGATTGGCTGCTTAGAAATTAAGTGTTAACGAGCAGTTGGACAGGTGTACCTAATAAAGTGGCCGGTGAGTGTATATATACATATAAAACATTATAAAATATATTATATTAGGGCTGGGTATCGATTCAGATGTTCAAATTCGATTCGATTTCGATTCACAAGCTCACAGTTCGATTCGATTTCGATTCTCGATTCGAATTTCGATTCCTGATTCGACTATAATGAATATAGATGTAATACAAATCTCAGTCTAAATATCAGTTATCATTTTTTAGACAATTTTTTATTACATTGATCTCACCTAAATGTTTGTTTTTACAATGGGGTGATTTTTTTGTTAAGAGTTTATGCAACACATGGAAGCTTGATTTCAATCTTTGAATTAAATTGAAAAAAGTAGCACAAATAAATACAATAGAATAGGCCTAAAGACACAAATAAAGAGACATAAAAAGAAAAGTTTTTGGGTAGGTCAGAAATACTACAGAAACTGAATAAAGTTATCCAATGTAAAATAACACTGGATAGTCTTTTAGTCCTGACTGAATTAAATACATAGGCTATTAATTCTCATTCCTTACAATTAATGCTATATTATGTTGTTTTGACAACAAAATTAATGACAGACACATATGGCTGCGTTCACTTTAAGAACTAGTGCACGGATCCATTTCTGTTTCATTACTGTCACATGCGTTTTATGCTTATTTAAGACATAACCGACTGTCTTTACGAGGTCACTCACTAAGACCAGAGTTTTGACATCATTTTGCGTGTTTTTAACTGTTAAAGCGATATAATCCACGAAAAAGAACTTTTGTTACTGGCGAGCTGTTTGTGAGGCGGATTTAGGCTTTACTGTATGTGCGCGCAATGAAAAACATGCGCGAGTGCGCGAGCACAGGATAGTTTAAAATTGTTTGAATGATTAAACTGGTAAAACTTAAAAAAGACGTGAAAATGACAAACGTTAGTTACGATGCAATGCTGGCCCGATTGTGCAAGTGAATCATGTCCCGACTCCTAAACACGAGTGTGTTTCGACGCCTGCAGCGCTTGACGCTTGCCTTGTGCAGAGTGAGAAGACGCAGCACCGCGAGTCCTGAATATGGAAAAAATCGATTCGTGGCCGTTCAGAATCGATTTTGAATCGACCACATTTTAAAAAACAATTCATCGAAAAATCGATTTTTTTGCCTAGCCCTATATTATATACATCAGGTTACCAGTTAGCTAACGTTAGTGAAGTGTTGGTCACGTAAGCTATCGCTGCAATTAACCTATTATCTTCCAATAAACATTTACTAAAACTGGCTACATAAAATATAACTACAGACTAGATTCACGAGAGGTCGGCTAATGTGTGTAAAAGTAAAAAAATAAAGTAATTTCATTAATTTACCAGCGAGCGTTCTTCGGAAGCACTGAAAATGAATGGGGTTCAATGGAGAAACTATCAGTGTTTGGAACTATTGGCTGCTCCACGACACCCGTTACTTCCGCATTCCAAAGTTCCTATGGCGGTCTATGGGAGTGTCGCAACTCTTTCTCTCTATGGCTCTGGTAAAGCCTATAACTAGATCATTCACGGCACAATGTTTCTCCTGGTTTCCACATCAGCGCTGTTTGATCTAATAGAGATCTACGGTTAATAGCGGAGAAATGTGAATGCTTCTCACTAGATCTCGCAGCGATGTTATTACTTCAGTGGCGAATTCAAATGTTTTCTTCACTGGATCTCTTAGCGCTGTGTAGTGACAGTGTCGCTTGATCGAGATAGGCTCGCGCTGCACAGATGTTGCTGGTCCAAACTGATAAACGGTCCGTGAAGCACATAATGAGTACCGCAGTTTCGTTCCGCTTTCATTACGTTTGGCATTTGATGTTGCGCAACGTTGTGGTGGTTGCGCCAGCGCGGATTTTGTCGGCAGGAAAAATGGTCCAAGGAATCGTTCGGTTTGTATGCGTACCGAACCGGAAGCCTCGTACCGAAACGGTTCAATACGATTACATGTACCGTTACACCCCTAATTGTGTGAATATAATACATTTAATACAAGATCTGGCAACTGGTCAACATTAGACAAACATATTGGTCCGATTATTCATAAAGGAGTTTGGGCCATGCAAATTACGGAAGTTTCCCGGGAGAAATAACAAACCGGGAGGGGTCCGGGAGATAGGGCTAAAAAACGGGAGAAACCCGGGAAAAAAGGGAGTGTTGACAGGTATGAAACAAACGTGTTTTTTTTCTGTAGTGTTTTGTCCGTTCCTCTATCAGGTTTTATTTGTGTTACTCAGATCGCCTATAAATCGATATGAAATTCTACAAATTATGCTTTAGTTTAGCTTGTCGTCTGCATCAGAATTAGTAACGTTAGCAGCTATATGTTACCGTGCTGACTTGACATATAATACATAAACTGTCAAGTCGTGACGTAACCGTTCTCCGATAATACTGTTTCCGGGTCCAAATGCCGGTGTTGTGCCGAATTTCGACCCCCGCCAAATTATTAATGCTACCCCCCTAGCATTGGTAGGTTTAGGATTAGTTGTGGGGGAGGGGGTAGGATTAGGGGCGGGGTTGGGATTAGGCAATCAGGTACTGATTTCAACGAGGGGGGTAATAATTTGGCAGGGGGTCGAAATTAGGCACAACACCTGGTCCTCTCTACCTACTTACCGCTTTCGCCCGAGTTTTAACATGCCGCAGTGCTGTGTCCCATGTTGTTTAAATAGATCCGAGTTAAAAAAAACAAGTGACATTGAACTGTCATTCTACCGCTTTCCCTGTGACGAGAAAGATAAGAGAAAATGGCCGCAGTTGATAAGGTAAGTTACAAATCTTAAACGAATGAAGAAACTTTGGCGCCAGTGGGTGCTATCCCTATGGTGTGTTCACACCGAACGGGAATTTAATTATTTGCGCGAGTGGATTACATACAATTAAGTCAATGCAAAGACGCGAATAGACGCATCATTCGCTCCGGGCGTTGCGAATGACGCGAATTGGGCGACGCGTTTGCCGTGAATGTCTTCCGCGCAAGTTGAAAAATTTGAACTCGAGCGAATGTTCAAGCGTCTAACTAGACGCGTATTTGACGCTCTATTCGCGTTCGGTGTGAACACACCATAAATCCCTAACACCCACTGGCGCTGAAGCGAAACCAGCCCTTTAAGAAAAGGGCTTATGTAGTCTATGGGTTTTATATGTTGTTTGTTGCTATAAACCCAAATCTTGCATCATGTTTCGGTTGTCAGGCCTTGTTCTGCCGCCTAGTTAAGATGAAACTAAGTTAGCTAGCTAAGGCTAACTAGCTAACGTTAGCTTTGGCAACAGTCTATAGACAAGTCGAAGCATGAAGATGTGTGTACATAGCAAGGAAAAACATTAGACCAGTTATAGTATGATAATCTACTAACGTTTCTCATTTGTCTGAGATATAAGATCAGACTCATGTCTATTAATGTACTACAACCTGAAACAAACAAACCCCCTTTTAGTGAATTACAGTATTATATTATTATGTAAGACAGTATTATTAGGTATTATCAAAATTTCACATGTAGTCAGTCAGGTCACTAGGAAAATACTACAACCTTTGGAACATGAAAAAGTACTTTAGGTGAATTACAGTAATTGTTTCATAAACCTATTTGATTGTTGTATGTACAGTAAGCGAGCTGCGAGGTATTGTCAGAATTTCACCTGAAATAAGTCTTTCTGGTCAATAGGAACATGGTACAACCTTTGAATAATAAAAAATCCCTTTGGTGACTGAATGTAATTTGATTCTAAAAAATAATAAAAAGTAATATTACAATTTTTTTTTTTTTACAGACGTGAAAACTTCATCCCAAACTGCAACTCTAGGGTGTGCAGTTGGCATTTCCCCAATGGAAAAGCTGCTGGGCCATCAAGATTTGCTTGGAATGAGGGGAAGACTTTCCAATTCCCAGAGCACCTCAGCCATCTCCCTAAACGAAAGAAACAACTGGTCCCTAGCAATGGTGAGGATGAGGGAACGGATGCTGACATGGCAGAGACCCCATGTACTTCAAAAAGTCTTGTGGCACTTGAGGTGGAGAATGAGATGCTGAGGGAAGAGAATGAAAAATTGAAAAAACAATTGGAGAAACAGAAGCAAATTTTTTCCTTCAGTCAAATTTCTAATAGTCCTGACAAAGTTCAATATTTTACTGGATTGCCTGATGTTGCCACTGTCCTGTTTTTGGAAGCGCTTCTTTCTAAATTTGAGCTAAAATATCATTCTGATTGGACTGTCCAAATTATGCCCTTAGTTGATCAATTGCTCCTGACCTTAATGAAGCTTAGACTAAATTGCGGCCACATAGACCTTGCAACAAGGTTTAATTGTAGCACAGCCACAGTAACCAACATCTTCACCACCATCATTAGTGCCCTGTATGAGATTTTGTATGTCGGTTTGCTTGAGAACAACATCCCCTCCACAGGCAAGAATCAAACATCGCTGCCAGACTGCTTCCAGCCCTTCCCTAACTGTAGGATCGTGCTCGACTGCACAGAGGTTGCCGTCTCTAACACAGAGAGGCTTGATGCACAGTGCCATTTGTACAGCCAGTACAAAGGACGAACCACACTTAAGGCTTTAATCGGTGTTGCGCCTAATGGAATTATTACCTTTGCCAGTGACCTGTACGGTGGGAGTGCCTCAGACAAGGCAATAACAGCTGACTGTGGACTTCTCCAACATTTACATCCTGGCGATATGGTTATGGCAGACAAGGGCTTCACAATTCGGGACATTTTGCCAGAAGGAGTTTCCCTGAACATCCCGTCTTTCCTCGTCAATGGACAATTTACGCAGGAGGAAGTGAACAACAACAGATTAATTTCAAAAGCTAGGATACACGTGGAGCGTTCAATTCAGCGACTGAAATTGTTTCACATTTTGGACCACATTCCATACCAGTTCAATCAAAATATAAACAAGATACTTAAAGTGTGTGTGTGTCTTACAAATTTACAAACACCCATTCTCCGTGAAATTGGATGAGTTAACTATTGTATATACATGAATTTCTGGGTGTAATTCATGTCTGTATATAAATAACTGTATTTATAGTTTTATTTTAATTATATATTTTTTTTATTTTAAGGTGTCATTGTAACAGTGTAATTATTTATAGAAGTACTGAGTAATATTAAGTAACTACATGTACTTACTATAGGGGTAGGATTAGGGTTTGGTTGAGGGTTAGTTGCATTTATTATGCATCATTTACTGTTATTACTATGCAAGTACATGCAACAAATGTAACACTGTAAAATAAAGTGTTACCTTTATAAGTTCTGTAGCATGAAGGGCCTATAAACGAATGTTTGATAATAATAATAATAATTAAATAATGGGGATAACATGGATAATTTGATATGGTTTAATGTAAGATGTTTGCCCATCTTTTGGAAAAGTTTTAAAAGTAAAAAATGATCACTTTAACCAGTAGATGGCTGCAGAGCTCCACTATTTGCTATTTGACTTTTTGAAGTTTTTCCAGTTGAATTCATATCTACATATTACGAAATCACAATTACAAAAAAACAAAAGTTACTTTTTGTCAAAGTTGAGCAGTTTTTGTACTGATTTTTGTTTTTTCAGTTTTTCAAAAATGTCACATTATGATTAGAATCAAACCTGATCAGGATGTTAAGAGGAAAGTTGAAGAAAAGTTATAATTTATTTCAAACATCTGTTTTTCAAATAATTCTACAAATTTAACGCATTTTCTATACGGGGTCTGACCCCGCATAGAAAATGGACAAAATTAATTTGATTATAATCATAATGTAACATTATTGAAAAACTGATTAAAAAAAAATCCTAAACTTTGACAAAAAGTAACTTTTATTTTTATAATTGTGAATTCATAATATGTAGATATGAATACAACTTGTGAAACGATGTCTTTCAGTTAGTCAATTAGCAAATAGTGGAGCTCTGTACTGTAGCCATCTGGTTAAAGTGATAATTTGTTACTTTTAAAAATGATGTTGCCAAAAGATGGGCAAAAATCGTACACTAAACCATGTCAAATTATCCATGTTATTATCCCCATGAATGAAAGTTAGAAATGTGGGTCAAAAAGACCTCGAACAGTGCACAAGGGTTAAAACAAATGGATTTGTTGTTTGTTGTGTTTTCATATTCAACAGATTATAAGCTAGATGCAGCTTTTTGGGGTTTGCATCGAATGTTCTTCGACTTTTATACATAATAAATGTATTTATAAATAAAAATGGTTCTGTTGAAAGCAGATATTTTGAGATAGACGCCAAATGTTCTCCTCCTATTCAAATTTGACATTGAGGGGGCGCATACATCATATTTGCCCATCGGCAACTATTTGATGCACATTAAAATACGATTTTCAAGAAAGAAAACCCTGGGGAAAATAAATGCAGAACATATTCACATAGGACACTATTAACACGACTATATGCATGAAACCATTCAGAAAAATGTGGGCACAAATGGGTTAAGAGGCTGTTGTGTCAACTGTCAACCTTGATTTATTGCAATTTTGAGGTAAGTTTTTTTATTTCTTTTTTATTTTACAAAATGAACATGACTGCTCTCATCAAAAATCATGTTTCTTATTTTTCACTGGCATGTCTCAGGTGTTAAGGACTTTGAGCCTACATACAGTATGAGTAAAATACTTAAGTACAGTTAACTTGTACAGCTCATTTTTGCTCATGAGTAATTTTTGCTGTAAGGTATCTGTACTTTTACTATATGGTTTTCAGGTACTCTTTACACCTGTGGTTTCTTAAATTATTTTCAGACAATAAAGGCAACTCAGGACTGACCTCTTATATAATAAACTGCCCTGGAAAGTGAAATGTTGATACATAAAAAAAAACTTAAAAAAAACTTGAATGGTGTCAGACACTCAGAGGCGCTACAGGACAGAAGACTGATGTTGCATTCATTCGTTCGCTCTTCAGCGTCCTCTAATGAGAGCCTGCTGTATAGTGAGGTCTAAGCTTTGGGTGGATAGTTAGCAATTCCACATTTATGTTCTAAGAAGCCTCCAAATCTAATACATTGCTATTTTGTGTTGTTGTATGTGGTGTTTGCTTTACAAATTACCAATGCTATATGTAGCTACTGGAGTGACTGCCATAGTGAATGGGAAAAAGTTTATATTTGAAAGATACACTTGTAGCATAAATTAGATTTAGGCCTACTCAGTTCAATATACAGAGAAATGTATATGTAACAACAATTGTCAGCGCCATGTTGTGAATGTGTATTTCCTCCTGGCGCTTTAATCTGGGTAGGCTATGTGGGCTGGTGAAGTGACTTGTCACCAATTTTCACTTGTGCTGCATGATTGTGAATGTTTGCTGCTGGTTCCAGACACCCAAATAAACAGTGGCTGATCCATTGGCGTTGACACATACACCGCACCACATTGTTTGACACCATCTGCTGAACGCCATAAAGAGATACACTGCACAGAATGTGGGAAAATGTGAAGACAATGCATAGAGTTTGGACTTAAAGAGGAAGGCAGATGCTAGTTTAAAATAGCTTTACGGATTTCTCTCACGTTCCCATAAAGTGCGTTATAGGATGGTAAACGACCCCATATGTGTGCAAAGAGCAAGTCTCTTTGGCTTTTAAAGGCATTCTTTTGAAAACCAAACCTAATGCTGTTAGGCAGTAATGCAGTCATTATCCTGCTGAGCTGAGTAAGCAAACACACATACCTCCTGTGTTACCTTAACACACACACACACCTAACCCGAACCCTTACCCTACAGGCCTCTTGACTCGCAGAAAGTGAGGACCAGCCAAAATGTCTTTGTCTTCACTCCAATGGTCTAAAACTCAAATCGGTCCTCACAAAGATAGTTGTGCAAACACACACACACACACACACATTTCAACTTTAAATGTAATATCGAATACATAATATCGCACGTTAAATTATAGTCAAGTACTTTACATGTTCTTTTAGTCAACACATCAAAATAAGTCTACTTATTTGAAGCATGACGAATTATGATTTAAAAATATTTTAAACTTTACTTTAAAGTAAAACTTTTAAATTGGCTTTTAATTATTCCAAAGTGCCCTTTTTGACATGTATACTTAAATATATTAAGAGACTGTCATTAATACTCTAATTAAGTGCTCTTTTATTTAATTATTATTATTTTATCTTCAATTACAATTTTTAAAGTAGGCTACTTTTATTGTAAGTACACATTGATGGCCTAAGACACGAATCGAGCGGTTTGTGTGAGAATTGAGAAAACGAACAGTATTTATATCGTTTTTACCTCTTGTAACCACAGCCACGTCCAAGTGATCTGAGGACGCGGGCGCTTCGATCTGCGCAAGTGCCGGAAGTGATCTCTCGCGCGTGTACGTCACTCATTGTGAAAAAAATTCAACGTTGTCTGTTGATATATCGAAATCGTCTTCCATTGCGATTTCCTGTATATCTAAATATGTTTAGATCTCAACAGTGAAAAGTAACACTTCCGAAATCTCTGTGTAAACAAGGAGTGACGTACACGCGCGAGAGATCACTTCCGGCGCTATCGCAGACCGAAGCGCCCGCGCCCTCAGATCACTTGGACGTGGCTGTGTTTACAAGAGGTAAAAACGATATAAATACTGTTCGTTTTCTCACACAAACCGCTCGTTTCGTGTCTTAGGCCATCAATGTGTACTTACATTTACGAGTCATTAAATCATGTTTAATTTGGACTTCTCTGTGCATGCTCTTTGAGGCATTATATGACTGACAGACAAGAACGGTTTGACCTAAAAATATCAAAATTGAAACTACTGCGGAAACAAAGACACCTACATCTTGGATGCCCTTGAGGTAAGCTAAAACATACCAAAAATTAATTTCAAAGTGAACTATCCCTTTAACATATATCTTTTAAATTAACAATAGGCTGTATCTTAACTGTGTAGGTAATTTTGATAGTAAACTACTATCTTCAGCAGGGGACTTTCATTCTCTCTGTAGGGAAAACATCCCCCAGGCACTAATTAAACAAACCAGCACTCCCCTCCCCACACTTGCATCCAAATAAACGTATTATTTATTAATACTGCAAATAACAGATTGGGGACAGGCTGAGATCACGTTCTCTGTGTGTCATTATGGCTCTGTGTGTCTAAGCAGTGCTGGTAAATGAGTAGAGAATAAATGAGTCAGTCTCTGAGGTCTTGTGAGATGATTTGGCTGTGAGTCAGGTTCTCTGTCAGGATACAGAAAGAAAACATGTCCTGTAAAGGGTTACACAGTAATCTACTAATTAGGATGGATTTAGATTAATACAATTAATGCCGGGTTCATGACTTTAATATTGTGGCCTAAATCACTGAACTATGGTCTTTTGTATTTTTAAACCTGGTTCAAAATGTGTGCTTTAGTTATACCAATACAAACTTCAGCCTCAGTAATTATACCCTAAAAAAAAAAAAACTATTTTCAAAGGCTGATAATCCACTTATGCTTCAGAAGTAAACCAAAATCCTCACTCACAGGGGAGGCCAGTTTTCCAAACACTGAGAGAGATTTGCCTTTTCAGTTGTTGAAGATTACAGGAAGTTCTTAACTGTTTCAATGAATATCTGCACACAAAGATAATCGATGACAGGTCATGTTATCAACATGCTGTTTAAATGTGTCTGTAAAGAACCATAGCATTTTGATTCAGCTTCTTTTTTCGTTGTTCGTTGTTTCGTTTGCCTGGTGTGTGTCTGTACATGCACACAACACTCCTTTAATTACTCACTATTTATAATGTGTCACAGCTGTATTTTCAGGGCTTTATTGGAAAAGGCCCATCTTTATTTGAGGAATTGCTTGAGTCAGTGTTGATATGTTTTAAAACAGGACTCCATATGTTTGTGAATACAGTAAACTCAGCATATCTCACACTTTGAAAGAGATACTGTATCAAACTGGCTGATTTGGTTTGTGATAGAAAGAATATATTTACTATTTACGTTACAGTGGAAACCAAATCTTTCCATCCTG